TAGAGTGATCGCTTTTTCATTCAGCACTACCTCTTCTTGCACTGTATCTGGAATTTTTGTTTGTCCTAGAGTGACTCCCACTATGTGCCCGTCTCTTCTCAACAGGAGTCCCTGCTGGGGCTCTACAGACTCCAGAGCAGTGGTGCCCACAGTGCAGTCTCGGAACCACCACCAGCAGCAGCAGCAGCACCTGGGCTTAGCGAGCGATGCAAATTACTGGGCCTTATCCCAGCCCCACTGAATCAGAAGCTCTGGGGCTCGGACCTGGCAGTGTTTTTAATGCATCTGGGTCATTCTGATGCATACCCATGTCTGAGAACCACGAGGCTAGAGTCTGGAGGGAGGACAGAAATAGACACAAATCCCTATAATACCATATGGTGGGTTACCCTCGCCTGTAGGCTCCTCCCCACACAGCTGGGAGCTCCCTCCCTTCCCTCATCTTCCCAGTCTTTTGTAGGTACTATTACTGAATACCATTACTGTAGGTACCATTTTACGGATGAGGAAACTGAAGCCCTGAGAAGTTAAGTAACTTAAGGTCAAGCAGCTCTGTCTACTGCATGTTAGCCTCCAAACCTAGCATCTCTGGGCATGGCTGCATGTGTTGTTCAGGACCGGACCATGGTCCCGCTCCAGTACATCTCTCAGCCATCATCTGCTGATCTGTGGTTACTTTCCCTCAATCATAAAGGGCTTTGGCCCTGGGTCCCAGTGGCAGGTTAGCCTCTCAGGCTCTCCTCCCCTTCTACCTTCATCTTCATCTGGAGGTCCACCTTACCCCCAGAGTCGTTTATTCCTGACAATGGAACAATGTGGGAGTGAGGCAGAATAGGGTCTGGAAGCAGGGAACCTAAGGCTGTTTTACGCTGACTTCCTAGAACTAAACTGAAAGGAAAACCCAAACTTTCCACGCCTAAGTAACAAAAGGACCAGACGCTACTCCCTTTGTCCTTTTCTGCACAGCAGATGGGAAATTGGCTGTCTGCAACCAATCAGACTGATTGCAGGTGAGTTCTCATTTGCAACTTTGTGACTTCACTCCAGCCTCTGAATGGCTGCTGTCCACAACCAATCAGACTGATTCCCTGCCGAGTCTTCATTTGCATAGAAGAATAACTGTAACTTCTTCCTAGCCGCTGATTGGTTGCTTTTTGCAACCAATCAGGCATTTGCACAGGAGCCTGGCCTTTGTAACTTCAGTTCAGCCTCTGGTCGGCTGCTTTCTGCAACCAATCAGCCTGATTGCGGGCCACCACTTCATTTACATAAGGTGAGCATGAAGTGGTCAATGGGAAACCTCTAGCAGGTATTTGGACCCAAGAAGATTCTGCATCCAGGCCCCTGAGCCGCCCATTGCTTGGCTCTGCTCCCACACTATGGAGTGTACTTTTGTTTTCAATAAATCCCTGCTTTTGTTCTTTTGTTGCTTCACTCTTTTTTTGCTTTGCTAGGTGTTTTGTCCAATTCTTTGTTCAAAACCCCAAAACCTGGACACCTTGCAGTCACGACCCTCTACCGGTGAAAGGAGGGCCTTCTCTCTGACCCTCCTCACAACCGCTCCCTCCAGCTGTTGTGCGCGCTCACTTCTCCACACCATTCCCTGATGGCCTTGAAAGTGCCCTTGAGCCGTCCCTGCCTTTCACGGTGTCAGCCTCCTCATGCCTCCTCACCATTCCAGGCGCTCCGGGCTTTCTCTTCAAACCCTTTTTCGACACCTCCAACTGCTGCGCCTCCTTGCTCTTCTAACCCATCTGCCAGCCTCCTGCATGTCTACACCTGACGGCTGGGCTCCGGTCGCGTGCACGCGCCAGGCACATTGGGGCCCACATAAATGTGCAGTGTTCAACACGCCAATGTGGTCAGCACCACTTCTCCACGTCTCCTCTTTCTCTTCCTCCTGCAGTAATCCCACTCCTTCACCAGGTTGCCCTTGCCCCTAGCCCATCAGGCCCCGTCCCTCAGCAGCGGACCTGCAGCGAGTCTGACACAGCAGGCCCTGCTCAGGACCCGGAGCGCGCTGCTGCCCTCTACCGGTGATCCGTGCGGCCGGACACCATGTCAGGAGCGGCGCCCGCGAGGAGGGCTCGGCCGCAGCCCCGGGGAGCAGCACCCAGCAGCGCTACTGGGAGGGGAAGCTGGGGTCAGGCAGGTGTGACTGGGCCCTAGGCAGCTCACACTCAACCTAACGAGGTGAGGGAGGGAGGGCAGCTCACTCGTGCAAACGTGAGTGCAAAATGCACTCCACGGCCAGGAACAGGCAGTTCGCTCATGTGAGCAAAATGGAAAGCGAGCTCCTACCTAGGTTTCTCCTCAGACCCATCACAAACGCCTGAGCAGCAACAGTCATTAGCATCGGGGATTAACACAGCGGGGTATAAGTCTGACGACTGACTACTGTTATCTAAAGAGGACTCAGAGAATCAGCACACGAGGCTTCTGTGCACTGCAGAATGGTTGATTTATTTACTGTTGCCCGGTGGTCTCATTAGGGTCTATTTGCCTCTCTAGGTCTTTATGATTCCGTAATGCAAAGCACATCTATTAAGTGTAGCCTAAATTTCCCTTTCATGTGCACTTTTATGTGCAGCCTTTGTTCCATTAGCAATGGCTGGGGGTTGGGGGGTACCCCAGAGACTGTCAATGCCCTGCCAAATTCCTAGAGTTGCTAGAAAAGGGTAACCCTGTCAGGATGGAAACAAGCTGAGTTCTCTGTGACTCACCATTCAGGAACACAGGCTGACACAGAGGGATCCCCAAACCATTCCACAGAGCTGCAGACCACCTACCAAACCTCCTAGAAATTTGTCCACAGTTGCTGTCAAGCTCACTGGTTTGTGGTTTAAAAGCCCACCTGTGTCCCATTTTGTGAATCAGAATTTTGTTCCGGAGGCCAGGTATTGTTTGGTTCTCTTTGGCTCACTGTGTTGCCAGCACCTAGAATGTAGTATGTTGGCAAATATCTGCTGAATGAATGAATTTGCTCACATCCTGCCTGGCGCCTCCTTCCCTCTTCGTGGCCCTGCAGAAAAGGCTGCTAGGTGCAGAGAGCTCCTCTGCCAGTTCTCTGGGTTCCTTGGATGGGCTGGTCTGAGAAGGACTCGGGCAGATTCAGAACAGCCACACGTCACTTGCTGGCATCACTTCTCTCCTGTCAGGGAGTGGTTATCTGCTAATATTATACCATTGCACCATCTGCTTCTGACAGTGAGCTTGTTGCTTCTTCCTTATCTGAACAGAGCTTGAAAAATCATTTTGCATATTTGTAGCATTTCCCCCAAATTCAGAGCATTTAGGGCTATGGCCTTTCTGAGACCCTTCTCACTGGTCAGACACTGCCTCATACTCATCTTTGCTCATGGATCCTTATTTCTGTCTTTAGTGTATATATCCTTAAAATCTAACCAGGAGGGTGAGGTCATTCTGGTTTCCTTAATTCCCAGCTGGAGGAAGCCTCAAGCAGGGCATCAATGCTGTTGGCGGCCAGTTCTGTGAATTTCACATCAGGATGCCTCCAGCAACCATTCCCCTTCTTCCAATTCTACAGCCACTGCTCGGCTGCAAGGCTCCACTGCCTCCTCTCTAGATATGGGAGATACCACCTTGCTAGGCTCCCAGAGTAAACCTGACCCTGACACACACACCCCTTGCTATCTGAGGGGGTTTCCTAGGGCATGACCCTGATTAGAAGTCTTCACTGATTCCTCATGCCCATACCACTCAAACTCTTCAGGATGACCTCAGGGTCCCCACCACAGACTCTAAGTAAATTCTGGAATGGCTGACAGGAGAGGCCCTCAGTGCTTGAACCCTTTCATTTCACAGGGGGGAAACTCCAGCCACCCTGCCTTCCTGGCTGTATCTACACTGGCGTCCCATCACTGCCTTGTGCTCAACGTCTAACTTGCCATTCTCAGAGTCTGCCCTCCACCTGATCTCTCAGTCTAGGCTGGTCCCAGGGCTTAGAATGCTCGTGCACATCTCATCTGCTCATCCCATTCCAACTGCCCCATTGAAGGCCACCTCAGAGGCCACCTCTGCCATGAGACTTCTACGTGCACTTCTCACACTTCTACGTGCACTAGTTTCTTTTGTTTTGAGGCGAGGTCTCGCTGTTACCCAGGCTGGAGTACAGTGGTGCAATCAGGGCTTACTGCAGCCACAACCCCCTGGGCTCAAGTGATACTTCCACCTCAGCTTCCCAAGTAGTTGGGACTACAGGCTTGCACCACCATGCCCAGCTAATTTGGTTGTTGTTGTTGTTGTTTTTGCTTTGTAGAGACAGGGTTCCACCATGTTGCCCAGGCTGGTCTCAAACTCCTGGGATCCAGCGATCCACCTGCCTCAGCCTCCCAAGTGTTGGGATTACAGGCATGAGCCACCACACCCGGCCTACATACACTCTTAACCTCCCTCCCCTGGTATTCTGGGTATATCTCCATCATGGCATGTTTATTACATTATGCCTTCTCCACTAGATTGTAAGTCTTGAGGGGCAGGCACTCAGTTTTATCCACACAGGATCCCCCTGTAGTACTTGACACAACTTAAGTACCCCAGCAATATTTTTCCCCATTAATATTTTGAAGATAGAACTGGGCATGGTGACTCACGCCTGTAATTCCAGCACTTTGGGAGGCCAAGATGGGAAGATTGCTTGAGCCCAGGAGTTCCATACCACCCTGGGCCACACAGGGAGACCTTGTCTCTACAAAAAATAGAAAAATTAGCCAGGCATGCTGGTGTGCACCTGTGGTCTGAGCTCTTTGGGAGGCTGAGGCAGGAGGATCCATTGAACCTAAGAGTTTGAGGCTGCAGTGAACTATGATCACACTGCTATATTCCAGCCTGGTCAACAGAGAGACCCTATTTCAAATATACATACATATGTATGTATATTTGTACATATGTATATAAATGTACAAATATGTATAAATTTGTATATGTATCTCACACACACAGATACACACATATGATACATTTTTACCAGAAGCACTTACCTCCTTGTCCTAGCAGAAGGGACTTCTAATGTGTTCTTATTCTAGGGGCAGAGGGTCCCCTGGTTATTTAAAGACTTCAGTTCCTGAGACTATAGGAATCTCATCACAGTGATGGCAGTCAGTATTTTACTTTTTGGTGAATCAGGAGAAACGGCTTTTTGTTTACCTAAGGAAGAATAGGAAAGCTAATTAAGAAGAAGAAACCAAAAAAATTACGTAGATATTTTTCTATGCCATACAGCAGTTTTCTTGTGGAAGAATTGCAAACTTTCTGTGTATCTCTACTAAATGGAATTTTAACTGGAAAAGATCAAGACCACTTTGTAAATCAAGGTGTACAGAACACCAAGGTTGAAGGGATCTTGAGAAATCTCTGGCCCAGCCTCTGTTCAGAAGGTGGATGCCTAAGGCATTCAGTTCCTCTGGGACCTAAAAATCTCTTCCATGACATTTCTGGGGTCATTTGGTTTCTAAAGACTCATGAACAAGGATGAGGACAATTCTACCGTCCCTATTGTCCAGTGAGCAGAGAACCTCCAGACAAAATGGTCTGGTGGCTCTCCAGGGACAAATAGAACTAAGGTCACCATCAGAGTGAGACTTCTAAGCAGTACATCTAGGTAAATTATGGCTGTGTTAGAAGACAGTGCACAGTTATTGGATTTCGGGTTTCGGGTGAACAATGTCCTGAAAGTTGAAGAGTTGACTTATACTGCTTTTCATTATTTTATAGATGATTAACGCAGACAGCTTAAGCACTTGTCTAAGATCTCATATTTATTACATTGTGGAGCTCGGATTTGAATCCAGCTGCAAACTTAGTTGTCACTGTGACCTTTAAACAGAATCAAAATTCAATATGCTGCAAAACATCCACAGGGTCTCAAAGCGAGCTCGGAACCTGAAACGGCCCGGGACCTCCTTGAAACGGTGATTCTGATTCATCAGGGCTGTGGCTGCGGGACCTGAGAGTCTGCATTTCTAACGAGCTCCCAGGTGATGCTGCTGCCGGTCCACTGACCACACTGTTCGCGGTGAGAACCTAAGAGCCTGTGATTCACCTCCCTGCTCATTATCCCCATGCCCATGTGAGCTGCCTCATTCTTCCAGGATGAGGCATGACTAAGATGCTGCACGATTGGTTTTGAGAAGGGGCTATACTAATACATTCACTTCCCCCCTCCCCATTTTTCTCAGCGCTGAAGAGTGAAGCATCAGAGAGTGCCTCAAAGAAGATTCATGTGAGGCTTTGAGGAGGAGGGGATGGATGGGTCATATCACTTTACTAGGAGCTAAGGAAACAGGACAGCTTGGGTGCTACGTCTCTGGTTTCAGGAGAGGCGCTTTCCCTGGAGACCAGCAGAGGGCGCACAAGGGGCAGGGACCGAGGGGGAGGAGCCCGCGGAGCCGCGGGGGAGTCGAGCGGGGCGGGGAGGAGCTGCAAGCGGCCCTGAGCTGAGTTCCGCTGGGAAGTTCCTATCGCTTGCGCAACAGAGTGCATTTAGACATTTCAATGACAACTAAGTTTGTAGCTAGATTCAAATCCTAGCTCCACAGTTTAGTAGGTATGTGAGCTTGGGCAAGTGCTGAACCTCTCTGAGCATCAGTTTACTGCCTATAAAATCACAGCAATAACAGTTTCTACCTCCCACTCCCGCCGCCCCCTACCCCGGCAGCAACAGCCTGCTTCCGGCTTGCAAGGATCCTCCAGTGCCCAAACCAGAGGATCCAGTTACCTATGCTTAATACTCCCAACAGTTCTTGCTTGCTGAAGTAGGCAGCCATCATTTACGCAACTACCCCTCACCAGAAACGCCTTCCCTTTAGAACACCACTGAAGTGGAAAGTGAGAGAGGGAAAGGAAATTTCTCAAGGCACTGCGGTGATTTTGTGTTTCTTTAGCATGAGTGGGAAACTACCGGAAAGCTTCCTCTGTTTTCTTTACTATCTTTAGGTGGTAATTCCCAGCATCAGAAAACAACAAAAACAGCAGCAAGCAAAGGCGCTGATATTCTGAAAATAGTTATGTTGAAAACCCACATGGTTTAGGTACAGAATGGCTTCCCTGTTGTCAGCACATTATAACTCTTTATCACACAATTTTAAAGCATCTGATTGAAAGACATCATTTTGTCTGAGTGATATTAAAAACGAACAACTAGCATAACATTTAAAATCGTCGGGAAAAGGTAGCTGGTCTACAAAGTGAACATCCCTACCTGTCTCCAGGTTCAGACAGCGCCAATATTCTCAATTAGAAAATTAACATCGGAGGCTCCGACATCCTCCCTGGATGCTACTCAGCTAAATCCTGTGTATTGATGAGCAAAGTCAATTGCCAGGAAAGCTGGGCAACTGTAAGGTCAGGGAGCTGGAGCAGATGAGAGTAGGGAAGTCCAATATAGCATCCCTGAAAGTAATGACACAGACAATCTGCTAAGCGCTGCAAAAATCATTTGGATTGTGATGTAAATTGGAAACAGTTGTGGTGGGGATGGTGACCGGGGACTAGGAACCCTATTAAACTGATCGGTTAGACACGGAATAGGAATGTGAAGAGAGAGTATCAAGCACTTGAGAACTGTTCTGAGAGGGATGTGTAGTCTGTGCTGGGCTAGCAAAGGCATCAAGAGAAAGTTTCCCAGGCAGATAAAATCCAATGCACCATGCAGCTGCTGGAGACACCCCCTGATGCAAGGTGAACCCTTAAGAGGCTGAGAGGGAAAGGTGGGGGGCACTCAGGCTAGGACGAAGATGCCCTGAGAGGAAGCGATTTCACTGGTGTTGCCTAAGGGACTGTAAGCAGGGACAGGTGAGGCTGGAGAGCGTACCCCTGCTGGAAGCACAGGTCCCCACCCTGTGCCCAGTGTCCTGGGACCCAAAGGAGGTTTATTGCATGTGGAATCTGCCTGGGCAGGCTGCCCAGGGTGGCTGTGCTCCATTCTGAGTCAGGGCAGGGAGTCAGCTAGTTGATTGGGCTCCAACTTGCTAGTGGTGGTAACTTCCAAGATAAATGAGACCATGGCAAAAGTGCCGGGCTGGGAGAGGGTAAATCTCAGTTCTAATCCTCCTTCAGCTACAGTCTGGGTATCCTAGACAAGTCTAACTTTCATTGTCCTCAGTTTCTGCGTATGTATAACGGTGAGTCTGAAATGGAAGCATTTTTACATCCTTGTTAACTCTAAAGTTATCTAAGGAAACTTGCTCAGTATCATCATGACAGCAATCACAGACCAGAGCCAATCCTCCCTGGAGCAGAACATTCCTTCTTCATTCTGGCAAATTTACAAGCCTGTTACACTAGATCTTGAAGACACATAGTGGAAAATGATGTTATTAACGTACCAATGAAAAAAATGCATCCACATATATCCTAGCTTTAAATAGCAACGTTTTCCCCCCTCAAGAAATTACCCTCAGAGGATCTTGTGTCTGTGGCTAGATATTTTGAGATTAGACAACTTTTTTTTCCCCTCTCCTTGTATTTCTACTTTCCTAGGCTCACCTCCACCTCTGTAGCCAGCTCCCTAGTCATTGGCCCAGGGCAGGTACATGTCAGAACCCTTCCAGGAATAGCTTGCAGGTTCTTCTGGCTTCGATTTCCCAAACAGGGCCTTAGGTTGGGACACAAGGCTTTGCCAAGTTGGGGGAAGAGGGATGGGGGGTGCTGATGGGTAGAAACAGAGAGGCATGCTTCTAGAAACAGGAAGATAGGAAGGGAAAAGAGGCCTGTGGGTCCCAGGAAGACAGGACTCTGGCAGGACCCCAGTGTTAGCTATGTGGTCTGGAAGCAGTGGGGACTTGCTAGGCAAGACAGGCACAAGAGTGCATTCAGTGGTAACCCAAGTGGACCAGATAGGGGAGCAGGAGACACCTGCACCCGTGCCCCTGGGATCTTGGCAATGCATAAAAGATCTGAAATTGTGACACAGTGACACAACCTGGGGTGGTTTCTATGGTTGCCAGCCAGATGAGATGAAGGCTCTAAACCAATATTAATATCTAGAAAATAGAGGAGAGATAGTATTTTTTGCACATCTGTGCATACTAGAGATTCATACTCACTACCCTTTTGGTTCACAGGTTGGGAAAGAAAATAAAAGGTAGTCTTGAAACTATCCGAACCTAGTTATATCGCTGACCAAGATGAGGAGGAATCTCAGACCCCAGAAACTCAGGACTAAAAGTGGCTTTCGATTTTGCCTTTATTATGGTCTTCTGAGTTCAAATCCAGACAGTTTCCCTGACTATAAAATGGTATGGTTATGAAGAGTAAATGAGATGGGACACATAGCTTATATTTTTTGGTCCCTTGCAATACTTTGCATGTGGCAGATTACTTGTTGACTATCAAATTATTTACTATTTTTTAATTTCTTTTTTTTTTTGAGACAGAGGCTCACTCTGTCACCCAAGTTAGAGTGCAGTGGCGTGATCATGGTGCAGCCTCGAACTCCCCCGGGTGAGGTGATCCTCCCACCTCAGCTTCCCAAGTAGCTGGGGCTACAGGCACATGCTACCATGCCCAGCTAATTTTTCTATTTTCTGTAGAAGCAGGTCTCGCCATGTTGCCCAGGCTGGTCTTGAACTCCTGGGATCAAGAGATTTGCCCGTCTCAGCATCCCAAAGTGCTGGGATTATAGGCGTGTGCCACTGTCCCTGGCCTTATTGACTATTAAAGCTAGTCCAACCCACAGTAAACCTGGGTCCAGAGAGATGCCTGGTTTGGTGACTGTGGACAAGCCACGTTGTCAGTAGCATCAGGACTATGAATGTTGTAGTAGTGTCAGGAACATGAACATCAATCTATGGTAAAATATAAACTTATTTATCTTGAATTTAGCATAGTGCTTTAAGTGCATGGACCCTGAAGACAGATATGTTGAGCTTGAATACTGGTTCACCATTTACTCCTCATAGGTACTCAGAATAGTCTCTAGCTCAGAGTTAAGTGCTATCTATGCATTTGCTGTTATTGCTGGTGTTATTAATTTGTGCACAGTAAAACAGAAAATGCCTGACTAGCACTACTAGGAAGTAAAGTTGTTTGGAGGCGTTTGAGAGAAGCTTATTACAGGCCAGTGAGGTGAGAACAAATCATTTCAGTGTTGCAACACCCTGTCACTGGATTTAGCAATACTATGACATTGGCAATTCCCCAGAAAG